TAAATTTTGGGGTGAACTATTCCTTTAAGATTAGTTCTTCAGCTATCATACTTTTATTTTTGTCTCTGCATCTTGCTATTTTGTGTATTTGTCTCGTCTGCCAGTCTATCTTTTGCAGATTCATTTGTCTTTCCGCTAAGTTCCCAACTCTGAATCTCTCAGACTGTATGTTAATGTTTGCTCTGCGCTGCTGATAGGACACTAGGGCTGAGAGCTCACAGCAGCTGTCAAAAAAGAGAAAAAACTCTGCATGCAAGATCATGAATTTCTCATGTTTGAACTTTAAAATAGATTCTTGCAGAGTCGGAGCAGCGCAACACATCCCACAACAGCAGGAAAAGGGTTTTGAGGAACTGAATAAATCAGAGCCAGATTGTGTGCTTTGTGAGAGCCAACATACAGGAGGTTTATTTAGCCAGTGAAAACAGCATGGAGACAAAGGATCAAACTGAGAATGTGTTTTTTATACCCGCATCTGTGTGCTCCATTTTTTTAAAATATAGTGAAATAATAGGTTTCTTATATTTATTTATAATTCACGTTAAAGAATTTAATTTTAAAACAGATGTTATCAATCAAATGTATTCATATTTCTTTTTAAAATTTGAAAATATTTTTAAGATTAAAAATGTAATTGTATTATGAATATGTAAGAAAATTTGCTAAAATATTATTAAATTATATATCAAAATAAAAGCTAAATACTACAGTTCAAAATGAAATCTGTAAGATTTGTTATGCTGTATTGTACTGTATATTGCATATTAAAATTAATATGTATTTCTTTGATGTCAAAACTGAATTTTTCAGCAGTAATTATGTTTTTACAATGTCACATGATTCTTTAGAAAACTTGTTGTTTGCTTATTTGTAGAAAAATAAATGTTTTGTCACACTATTAATGTCTTTATGGTAATTTTCGTACTTATTTTTTTAAATAATATTTCTGAAAATCTCATTTATTTTTCCAGTAAAATGTACATTAAAAAAAATTAAAAGAGACAAAAATGTTAATCAACAAAGGTTTTTATTTATAATTCAAGCAAAAATATTTTAATCTTAAAACAGATGTTATCATTCAGGTGTTTTCATGTTTCTCCTTATAATTTGTAAATATTTAAAAAAATATATTGATTATAATGATAAACAGCTTTTTTAAATTTAATATAACATTGTATATGTAATATGAATATGTAAGAATATTTTCAAAAAAGATTACATTTTAAATTGTATATCAAAACAAAAGCTTAACTAGATATACTACTGTTCAAAATTGGAATCAGTGAGAGTTGTTATGCTGTATCTTATAATAATATTGTGAAATATTATGCCAACATTATAATTCTTTTATACAAAATGTATGCATTTGTTGTGAAAACTGAATTTTTTAGCAATAATTATGTTTTATTGTCACATGATTCTTCAGAAATCTTTGTCGTTTGCTTATTTGAGGAAAAATAAACATATTTTGTCACACTTTAAATGTCTTTATGGTCATTTTTGAAATGACTTCTTTTAAAAATTTTATTTATTTCTCAAGATCAAATTTCTTTTTCATGTACATTTGTAAAAATACTTTTAAAAAGACAAAAACGTTGATTAACAAAGGATTTTATTCATGTATAATTCAAGCAAAAATAAATTAATCTTAAAACAGATATCATCTTTCAAGTGTATTTAGATTTCTTCATATAATTTGCAAGTATTTTTAAAATTAATTAATTATAATGATAAATAGCTTTTGCATTTTTATATCACTTTGTAATTGTAATTGTGTAAGAAAATGAGATAACATGTTATATAATAAATTATATAGCAAAGCAAAACTAAACTAGATTTACTACTATTCAAAAATGGAATTTGTAAGATTATGCTGTTTATTATAAAAACTTTGCAAAATATTGCTCAAACTATAAATATTTTATACAAAATGTATTCCTTTGATGTCAAAACTGAATTTTTCAGCAGTAATAACATTTCAGTGTCACATGATTCTTCAGAAATCTGTAATTTGCTTATTTGTTGAAATATAAATGTATTTTGTCACACTATAAATGTCTTTACAGTCACTTTTTTATTTGCTTCTCTTAAAAAATATGTATTTTTCAAAAGCAAATTTATTTTTCAGAAAATATGCAAAAAGTTTATAAAAAAGACAAAAACGTTGATTAACACAGATTTTCTTTTCATGTACAGTATAACCAACAGTATGTTTCCACGTAGTAGATCTGATTTTGTGTCTATGAGATGCGTGTCCGTGCAGTTTCGGCCTTTAGGGTTGAATAAACCAAGGAAGTTTGCGTCTCTCCCCTGGGAAGTGAAAAATAGGTCAGTGTTTTCCTGACTCTGCAATAGTACACAGCTTCACTGATACAACAAACCCATGTGCACTGCCCCAAAACAATACAAAACAAACCCTACATGAACCTATCAGAAGTGCACACCACAACTCTAGACTGCGACCTCCAAACCCTCAAACGGCGCTCCGCTGAGCGAATGGTTTATTTTGAAAGGTGCAGACAAGCTTTAGCACTTGAGCATTCTTTTAAAAGCACATTCTTTTTACAGAAGCGCCAGGTCCTTTAAGTATTCATCCATTGCGCTGCTGGAGAAATTTGGAGCTATGAATTTTTTAAGGGAAAAGTAAAAATGATGTCAACCTCCCTTGGTACCTGCGGCTGAAATAGATGACAAAACACCTCTGAGGACATTTAAAAAAAAAAAAAAAGCCCAGAGCAGTTTCTTCTCTGTGTGTTGTCTTGTTGTCATATGAACACATAATGGGAGAATAGGCTTGTGCTGTTTGTTATGGCCGAGATCCAGAGTTGAGCAGCGGTCCAACAAAAATATCCCCACTATATGAGATAAGACAGTCACAGCAGAGAGATTGCAAAGCAGTCACAGTCCAGAGCGGACTGATGATTACTAGAGACTGACTTTCTGAAACTGTAAACTACTTACTTTAGATAAAAAAGCAAAACAAACAAACAAACAAAAAAAAAAAGTTGAAGTGCCACAGATTTAATCCTGGAATATCTCAAAGTCACTAGAAGTCACTGTGTGTCTGCCATACCAAAACCAAAAACACTTTAAGAGAGAAAACCTTTAAAATAGTTAAATAGTTGAAAATTATATATATAATATAATATAATATATATATATATAGACACTTCTATACAGCTCAAAGTAACATCGGCTTACCTAGGTTAATTAGGCTAGGAAAGTCATTGTATCACGATGGTTTGTCCTGCAGACTTTCGAAAAGGAAAATTATAGCTTAAAGGGGCTAATAATTTTGACCTTAAAAAGCTTTTGAAAAAAATTAAAACTGCTTTTATTCCAGCTGAATATAAATATATATATATATATATATATATATATATATATATATATATGGTAAAAATATAGTGTTTAAACATTAAAAGTTTTTTTTTTTTAACATTTTTAAGGTACTGGCTCAAATGATATACAGTTAAAGTGAAAATTATAACCCACTTTTGTGAAATTTAAATATTTAAAAAAATTAGATATAAGTGCTGTTTAATGGAGAGCTTTTTGTTAAACCAGTTTGTAAACATGATAGTTTTAATAGCTGCTTCCAATAACTAGTTTATTTTGTCTTTGCCATGATAATAGTATACATTTTTTTTTTACTTATTTTCCAAGATATTAAGTTGGTGTATATACTGTATAATGGTGTAGTAGTTAGGACGTGAACACATGGCACTGTTCACGAGTTCAATTCCTCCTTAGGCCCTGTGCCGATCTATCCCTTGTCTCTGATCCCCACGCTTTCCTGTCTATACTCTCTGCTGTCCAATTAGTTAAAGGTAAAAACTTACTAAACTTACAAAAATATAAAAAATATTAAAACTGCTTTTCTTTCAGCCAAAAAGAAATAAGACTTTCTCCAGAAGAAAAAAATATATATTGGAAATACTGTGAAAAATATACATCACTTATAACAAAAATATTTGAGAAAGAATAAAAATGTCACAGGAGGGCCTAATAACTTCTGACTGTTTATTCAAAATCCCCCATAGTGCAAGATTCTGTCCAAAGTTTTCATTTCCAATAAACACTGATTAACTTTCCATACATTCCATATATTTATATATATATAAATGTTACATTTATTTTAGGACATTATAACAATCACTGATCATTTAGATTTTTTAAATGAACATTAAAAATCAAACCTCACTAATCAAAGGATTGCATCAGTCTCATAATGCCATGAGCCAATCAGCACTGTCCTGCTGTTGCTGTCCTGCCACTCCAGAGCAATTAGTCACATGACATTTATGGTGTAGGTGATTGGCTCGACCTGGCTTCATAACTGAAAGCCAAAAAAGATGGCAGATTTCACACTCCGTCAACTCCACCGACACATCTAAACACCCATCCCAGCTGACTCTCTGCTTCATTGTCTGATAAGGTAAACTGGCCTAAGTGCAGGGAGAGAAATTTCCCATTATGAGCCAGCCTCACCTTATCAACCTGCTGTTTACCCATGTCCGAGACCAGTCACACACCGAAAACCATTACCCACAAGCGCGTTATCACGAGAAACCAGACGACGGCTGCATGTCTGAAATCCAAATTTCTGAGTGGACAAAGCAAGTCTTCCACCCATCTTCGAGTTTTGAGGCTCAATTCGAGCCTAAGCTCACGTCAATGCTGACGCACGGGTATGTAGTGCAAATTCATCACAGATAGACGTCTAATTAACCCCTGGTCAATAAGATGCAGGTAAACGGCTGATTATTCTCTTGTGTGCATGAATGATGAGAGCTTGATTTGCCTGTTCTCCAGATAATGGGGCTCGTCGAGACTAATTGAGCTGCAGAGTGATGCGTCTGCACTGCATTAATACATCACGTCCAGACAGGTTACTCCACTCAGGAGTATGAGAGGGGTTACTGGAGACTAGTTAGATCTTGATCTGTTTGGTCTTTCCTGTAAATTGAGAGGGAGTAATTTGTCGAACACACACTCACCCTGTAGAGGGGGTCATGATGCATCCGCCACGGTCTACGGTCATCCTACAGCCACAGCCTCGCTCTGGCGTGTCGTGGTTCATTCCAAAGTTATGGCCCAACTCATGGGCCAGAGTCACAGCAGCTCCAAGAGCATTGTCCGAGTGGTCCTAGAAAACCACAAGATGTCATTTCATTACTTTGTGCTGTATTTTTCTGTATGTGTATATGTGTGTGTGTGTGAATGTGTTCAACATAAAAGGGCATTCTTTAAGAGATACTAAACTCAAAAAAAAAATTTATTAGCTCAATCAACACAAGTCTTGATCTTTTTTGGGGCAACTTTTTTATTTATTTTTTTTATTTTCAATCTACTTAAATCTAACTTAAATAAATTTTAAACTTAATCTTCCTGTCGTGTTCGGGTCAAATCTGGCCGATTTACAACTTCAAACACTTATAAATATTGTTTTTTACCTCTGATTGTCTCAAGGTCTTATGATATCCTCCACACTATGCATTTGAACATATAAAAATATAAAAATGAGGATCACCTCTTTCATTCAATTTTGAGTGTTTTAACTTGTTACACCTGTGTTGTTCCCGGGCAAAAGTGACCGCCATAGGAAATGAATGGGTATCCAGGCTAAATTCATTCATCAGACAGAAAACAACCCCACACACACTACCCCAGCTCACTCACTCACTCGCTCACTTCAGACTAAACAATGTCTTTTGCAGGTACACATCTTTTACGCGCTTATGTGCTGATCCTTAATAAAGTTTTTTATCCACACCAATTTAAACAATGATGATGTTAAACCATTCAACCTTCTTCACATCTTCTTACATTTAATAGACACATAAATACAGAATTTTGGCAATATACATAAAATAAAACACAGGTTCTTTGTTGGCATCAATGGTTTTCATAAGAGCCTTTGGAATCAATGGAACCTGTTCTTTAAAGTTGAAAAAGTTTCTTTAGAATTTTTTTTAAATTACAAAAAATGGTTCTTTGAAAAACATTTTACCAATTAGAGTCATTAAGGAACTGGAATAAATGGTGAAAAAAAAAAACACTCATCCACCTACAGTAAGAACCATTTTGCCACACCTTGGCAGTTACTTTGCGGTGAGTAACATCACAAATAAAACTGATGTTTGATGCTGTCTCAATCAGCAGTGATTTAAGCCTATGTAGATCGCTGGAGAACTACACATCTTTCATCACATGAACTATAACTACCACGATGCTGTGCGACAACCAACACTCGCTACAGCTGACAATTATCCGGACACTCACACACACACAGCTGAATCTCATTATCAGTGATTACCTGGACTATATACACTTTATATTCACACACACAGTGCTGAGTCTTGTTTGTCTGTAACATTTCTAATAGTTTCCTTGCTTAGTCTTGTCATGCTTTTGACCCTGGCCTTGTTTATATAATTTTGCCTGTATCGACTACTTTGTTAGTTAATGCATAGTTCAGACAGAAGGATTATCAAAGTAGTCATGTCACAGATGTTTTCACACTGCGTGACTATTTGAGCTAGCATCCTGTCAATGCTGTGTTTACACTTTAGGGTAGATCAGCGAGAGGGGGTTTCACACTGCAAGACTTTACAATAAGAGAATCGCCGACAACTTTGTCTTGGTACACAAACTACGTTTTCACGTTTTTTCTCAAACTTTTTTCTTTTTTGACCAAGTTGTGGTATCGCTCAGATGACAAATCAAACAGACATGGGTGCTCCTGCCAAATTTCGACTAGTTATTCTTGGGTGCAAATAGACTGAAAATAAGCCCTTTTAACTTTTCCCCTTAACCTCAGGCTGGCTTGCAGATACCCACACTAGTGTATGCTGCACTCTCATTGGCTGTAGGTAATGGCTGATGTTATTTCCATTCAGAACACATTAAAATCATGCAATCTGAACTCAGTATAACACGACTAAGCTTTTGGATTATCCTTGTGCTTCTGTTTGCTCCTGCTTTGATCATTGCCTGTCAGGTATGTAAATACGTACCTGACTCCCTGTGTTACCGATACCTTATTAAGTAAATGTAATTATAAAAAATAATGAAGTAAGAAATACTGTAGAGTGTCTATTTATGTCCATCTATCACTTATTTATGCATACTACACTGGAAAAAAAACATAATCAGTGAATAATAAACTACGAAGAAAAGACTGATTCTGTTATTAAACGTCTTCAAGGACTGTGGATGCTCCTGAATTTTTATCCTTTTCCTTTCAAACTCACTCTTTTAAAATATCTTTCAAGCTTGCCATAAAACACATATACAAGCACCACTGCTCTTATTCTCCTTCCTTTTTTCTTCTGCTCCCTTCATCATCTGTTCGCAGAGAACAAAGCCGAGCTTCAGCATTATCCATTTCAGCTGAGGTGAAGAAAACCTCCCTGCTGCCTCACGAACGTGACCTGGTTACCAGCGAACCACCTCTTATAACCCAGAAACAGACCTTTTTTTTTCTTCTTAATTTAGCTGCCATCTTTTCACAGAACTTTGCCCTGACTGTGTTTTTTTCCCCATTTCACTGTACATCAAAATGCCATTTCCTACTTTGATTACAGGGTGAGGAACATGACAGGCTCATCTTGGATTTCAGAGCCAACAGGGGTGATATTTCTCTGCCTCATTTCATTTATTCAAGATCTATAGGGTGCCACTGATTTTTTTTGAGTGTGACTGACTTGCCCCTCTTCGAGCATAATTGCAGACTAATACTGTGGTTAATTCCCTGGGAAATCCAGATTTAACTATTCCAAGAAACCACTACCAAGCTGCCACATTGAAAAGATCATGCCTTTATTGTGGTAACAGCCATATTTAAGTGCTTTTGGGTTTCTGTCAAGTTACTTCCAGACTTTATAGAGTTTCTCCTATCAAAGACATTCCCAACCTCTAGATTCCTATAATCATGCACAATGTGTCCATTATGGTTTCTTCAAATTTGCTCGCACAAAGGTCAAACTGTCAGAATCAAATCTTCTTAGATAATTTGTTAGTCAACGGACAGGATTGGGAATGCTTTTTAAGCTGATCAGACTTAAAACATAGTACAAGATGATTTAATGCACAGCCAGATTCAATTTCTGCCTCTGTTCGCCATGTGCATGTAGGGAGGAAGAAACATGCATAAGGAAACATGTCGCTTAAACCACAGAAAGCAATGCAAAAATACATTGGTCTGCTTAGTGTCTCGTTTTATTTGGCTTTTCATGTCCCGTCTGTCTCTTCCATTTCCATCCCATCTTTAATTAATCTAAATTGACTGAATAGTGTTACCAAAATGAATCTTCTGTAATCATTTACTTGTTATGTCCCAAAACCCAAAGAGAAATATTTGGCAGAATGTTCATGCATCTGTTTACCAAGTAAATGACAAAAAATGAATAATGCAGTTGAAAGTGTTTGCTTTGTATATATGAAATTTTGTGGAGATTTATAGTAAACAAAATGTTGAGTCAAATGTACTTTTTTGAGTCTTTTAACTTGAATTACATTAAGCTGAGTAGAAAACAAAGTCAAATCTTATATAATGTGGGGAAAAAAGGAATTTATTTTTATTACTTTTGTGTCTTTATTTATTTTTTATTGGAGAAATGTTTAGACTAACAACAGATTAATCAATCTTTTTCTATTGTATGATACCACATATTGACCTGACACACTTCCTCTTTTTTACTGTGCGGCATACTTTTAAATGAACATGCTAACAAGAGGGAAATAGAAGAATAAATTTAGGGTGGGGGCCTTTGTTCCAGAACAGTGGTCTAGACATGTCACAAGTTGTCATGATGCTTGTGGAAATTGTGAAATATATTAAAGATGGAAGTAAATGTTCAGTTCTGGTATGCAGAGAGGGGTTGCCGAAAGAGGAAGTATGTCTGGGGTACAAGAGCCAAAGGACTGCAGAATGACTGATAAGCAGGGCCAGACGGAATCTGCGGACGTTTTTTGCTATTTCAAAGAATTTTGGTAAAAATCTTCTGATTTCTGCGGAATTATTTTGGGAGTATCCAGCGGAGTATCATAACTACAACCTTAATATATTAAATAAAAAGTAATAAATTTCTGAATAAAAACTAAATAAATTCAGATTTCCACATTAACTCAAGTAAATAAACAGAATTAATAATGGGCTAAAAATCTGCAGAAATCTGCGGAATTCTGCTGAAAATCTGCGTAATTTTGTGCGTGCAGATTGCGTGTCGGCCTACTGATAAGTGACGTTAAACCAAAACTCCACCTGTTATGATCAGTTGTGTATATATGCTGGAGTCAGGAAATGTAAGTTAGTTGCGAACCTCTTGAATGTAATTCTTGTATTGCATCGAGGTAACGTAACCCAGAGCTCTGTCATCTAATTGGTCATTTGTATCTAATAAACTACTAATATTTTTGGCATTGAAGAAAACATTCTCCAGACCTTTTCTTATTGAACACGCATGGAAATGGCTTGATATTTTAACAATTACTTACAAAATCTGTAATTTTAGGTACAGAGGATATACAGCAATCAGAGAGTAAAACTGAATACATTAAGAGCTTTTTTAAGACTCTTTCCATACATTTTAAGACCTTATAACCACTTTAGGTTTCAACCGGAACCATTTGCAAGACTTACAGTATATTGACTAAATATTAAGGTAAGAAACTAATCCAAAACCAAAACATTATTTATATACTGAATAAAAATCTATTAAACCTAATAATAATTCAGCAGGTTGGTGCGTATTGACCTTATTCTGCAATGCGAAAGTGCGAATGTTTTTGCGATTGTTTTATAACTTCCGATTCAGCTTCCTATGGGAGAAATGACTATAGGAATATTAAACAGCAGAAAATTATCAAACTACTTGCTCTACAGACAAGTATGTTCATGACTATACAGACAAAGCAGAATAATATAATAGGAAAATGTCAGCTTACAACATCAAGCAGCAGAACAAGCGGTTTTTAATAACTAAAAATGAATGGAAGTGGGGAAGAATGGAAGAGACCGGAAGTCTCAAGTCAAAAAGATTCAATTGGCTGCGCCCACCCGTACATGGAGAATAAGGTCAATAGAACGTTCGAGGTTACAGAAGTAACCCTTCGTTCCCCGAGGAGGGGAACGGAAGTGCCATG